GGGGGGGGGGGGGGGGGGGGGGGGGGGGGGGGGGGGGCGTCCTGCACCTCCCTCCCCGCCCCTAGGGGGAGCCTGCCCAAGTATCCTGGAACCGGGGCTTCCAGGCCTTTGTGTGTGCTCACGCTTTACCAGGTTCTCTCATTTAGATGTAACTTCTGCCAGGCCAGCCAGCGCACCTTGTTGAATTTCATATGTCAGGGAGAAGGAGGTACTAGAATCTTGTGCCCTGCTCCGGCCAGCTAAGTCCCTTACTGTGTCTCCTTGTGGTGAGATGTCATCCCGCATCTCATAATGCCTCTGTTGGGAGAAATCCTACCAATTGAAAAGTGTAAATCGACTACGAGATGCATTCCAACATTGGGAACCATCACAGGGTGAAAAAGGATGTGTCTGAGTGTTAAGACACAATTGAAACCGCAGCGTTTAGCATCACCGAGGAGTGGCACGTTTCGGCCCTGAAACAGTGGTGAGGTCACCCCGAGCAGGGAGGCCTGCTACAGCATCCTTTGCTACCCCCTCTTCAAGGCCCACCCAATTCTGCGTCACCAGCCCGATGTCAGAGACGCTTATGTTTGTTTGTAGGAGAAGAAGCTTCTGAAAGTTTGATGAACCTCAGCCCTTTTGACATGAAAAACCTTCTGCACCATATTCTGAGTGGAAAAGAATTTGGCGTTGAAAGAAGCGGTAAGTGAATGCTCAGTTCACCTCCGGGGACAGCGGCACAGGGGGCCGACTGGTGTGCCCAGGGTTGCCTACAACCGCCACTGTGGACGGCCTAGACGAGGGTAGGCTTCCTGCTTTAGGGAGATGGACGGTCCCTGGGTTCAAGATTGGGGCTCCTAGGCCTTTGTGACCCCTCGTAGGCTTGCTGAGAGCGTTGCCATCGCACGTGGGTGTGGTGTGCACCCCTCTGCGCTCTGGCCTGCGCCCTCCCTCCTTCCGCTGGCCCCTGTGCACGGGTGTGAGGAGGGATGAGGTGAGCAGGGTGTAGGGGTGGAAGGGCTGTCTTTTCCCAGCTCCTGCGTGCCCCACCTTTGGCTTGGGTAGAAGCACTCTCGGCCACACTCCCGTTACCCTTCAGGGGCGCAGGGTCCTCCAGATGCTCTCAGCACCTTTGTGCTGAGAGACTGAGCTTCACTCCATCTTGTTCACTGAGTTTTGATCTGTACCAGAACCTTCTTTGCTGTGCTAGGAAGTAGAATCGCCCAAGTCCTGGTGGAATTTTGTTCTCAAATGCTCCCTAATTATAATTGAAGCAATTATCATCTCTCCTCCTAATAAAGCAAAATGATTTGCAGACACATTGGCAGATTTATTTCATCACGCCAAAGAAACGCCGTGCAGGCTGTCATTCTTTTTATTTAATGAGAAGGACATTGGGTACTTCGTATTTTTTCCCCAGAGCGCACACCAGCCAGCAAACAAAGGCGGCGGCATCATGCAATCAGACGTGTTTTGGTCGCTTTTCTCCTTTCCTGAAGGAGGAGCGCTCGAGATCCTTTTCCAAAAGTAATTTCCAGTTCTTTCAAATGCACAGTCCTTGAAACGTAAATATGCGAGATAAATATTTTATGTGTTCTGTTCATCAAAATCATATACATGGTTTGATGCAGATAATTACTGAAAATTTGTTATTATAAAGCTGTAGATGCTTACAAAATTGAGAAGAGACTAGTGTCACTAGAAAGCTATAAATATGTCTGGTTGCAAGCAAGGCCAGAAGAGGTCCGTCTTACATATAACATCATTTTATTGTCTTCTGTCATTGTTCAGTTTTTATAAGTTAGGAAACTCAAATAGTCTTAGAATTTTTTTTAAATTCTGAGATGTCAGAGATCTTTCCAGCCACTGCCCACCCTACATTGGCCCTACTGTAGCTCCTCAGACCCCTTTCGCTTCTGGTTTCCACTTTCCTGGTGTCCTTCCTCGCTCTCCAGCTAATCTGCGACTCCCTTCCTCCCTGCTGTCCTTTAAATGTTGGTGTCCCCTGGCTCCTTATTTGTCGCCAGTCTCCTAGGCGGTGCCCTCTACTCCCATAGCTTCATTGAGGGCTGGGTGGGAAGGCTGGGCACCCAGGGGAGCTGCTCTAGGAAGTGGCCTTTGAGCTGGGTTTGCAGAAGGAGAAGGTGCGCCTGGCAGAGGGGAGCAGGTGGGATGGGAGGCAGCAGCACATACAAATGCCCGGCACCATGTACCTGGCTAGGAGTGTGGAGCTGCGAGGGGTAGGTGGGACTCAGGTCGGGCAGGCTTTATCCTGAAGACAGAGCTAGGCCTAGAAGGATTCCAGGCGTGCAGTGACGTGATGACACTTGCCTTTTCGAACGATAGCTGGGACCGAAGCACAGAGAACCGGTTAGCGGGGAGGGGCAGGACGCAGACAGACCTGAGTCCGGAGGCCGCTAGAGCGGGTTGGAAGTGAGGGGATGGCGGGAGCGCGTGGGTTCTTCTCCACTTGTGGCCCTGGGGCCGCTTGTTCTCCTGGGACTTCCCTCTCCAGTCCCAAGGTCCCTTATTTGAGTGGTCTCCATTTTTTACAAGGAAGGTGTGCTTTTGGAGAGTAAATTATTTTTTAAAAACAATTCGTTAAAGGGTTTGATGGCCGCTCTGGTTTTTTTGCGTGCTGCTCAAGCAATGGTCACGCTCTCACCCATTCGCTGGACGCCTGCGGAGCCCGCGCTGTGTGGCAGGTGCTGTTCCAAGTGCTAGAGACAGAGCACTGGTCAGGGCAGACGAGGCTCTCTTCTAATGGAGTTTGTAAGCACGTGGGGCAGATGTGGATAAAAATGCGCACATAGCACGCATTCCTCCCCTGGGGCGGGGGCTGCTAATAGTATCTAAGAGCCCTGTGTGCGTTTCCCCTCCAGTGCGACCCATCCATTCCTCCACATCCAGCCCTGCCATCTCCATCCATGAGGTGGGACACACGGGAGTCACCAAAACCGAGAGGAGTGGCATTAACAGGCTGAGGAGCGAGATGAAACAGGTAAGATGGAACTCTCGGTGGCGGTGCCGGGAAAGAAGTGGTTTTCATACCTGGACTCACCTCAGAAAGTGATAGAACCCCAGGGCATGCAGGGTGCGGCCTGCTCTTCGCAGAGGATGTGAGGTCCCCTCTGTCCTGAAATCTGAACACACTCTACCCAGATATCGAAAAATTATGTGAACATTCCAGAAAATATCCTTACCCACGTTTGTCTCTGTTGCGGAGAACCACGCTTCTCGGTGGTGGGCCGCAGCTATCCCAAAAGTAGAGTTGCGCGAAACGTAACTGAATCACCTCTCCGTCAAATGTGTCCTTCACGCCAAATGGCGAGAGGAATGTAAAAAGAGGATGGAATGCTCATGACACCTGTATTTGCCACCATCTACAGGTGTCTCTTTTCTTTGTTCGCTTTTTATTTCACAGTAAATTCCTTCTGAACTGACCCCACAGGACTGCAAGGCAGCAGCTTTTTAGTCCTAGTGTGCCGGGTTCCCAGATGCTAGGACTTGACCGATGTACAGAGGGAAGGAGAGTTTCGTTCTGACCATGACCTGAGTGAGAAACGGACTCAGGTTCTCCTCTCCATTTCAAATGGTGGTGACTCGCTAGATGGAGTCCACGAGGTGCTAATGGGTCACACCCAGCAGTTGGGCCAGCACTTCCCTGGATTTTCCAGAGGGTGATAGAAGAGGTAGGGCATCCTTGGTTCGAAAGTGGCTTGTGTTTACTTCTTGCTGTATTTTTACTTTCAGATGACTAGGCGATTTAGTGCTGATGAACAGGTGAAACCTCTGTCTTGTTCTGTCCTTCACGTGTGTGTTTCGTGTCCTTTCTGGCTTGCATGCGGAAAGCGAGGCTGGGAATACGGAGAGCGATTGCGTGGAGAATGGTTTTGCCCGTCCAATGGGCTTGAGTGGAGGTGACTCTGCGGACTGCGGCGGGCAGCCCTGGGGACAGGCAGAGTGCCGGACTTGAGAGCAGGGGAAATGGCCTTGCCCCATGCCTTTAAAAAAGTCCATTTATCAAGCTCTTGGGTTTTATAGGATGCTTTGTGAAAGAGATGGTTCTGGGCTCTGCCTCGGCAGGAGTTTCTGTTCAAAAAAAGGGAAGTAAATAGGGAAAGGTAAAATGTGGTCATCGAGTATATGAATAGAAAGAATACTGTTGTCCCTGTCTGCAGGTTGCCTGGGGGAATTTAACCCTGCAAGGAAAACAGTGTGAGGATACCACTCTTTTCATATCACCCCTGGGACGTGCTTCCTCCTCGTCCCTCCAGAAAGTCGGAAGCGCGTTCCTGACGATTTAACGTGCGTGACTGAGAGAGCGTAGAGGAGTCATACAGTGACATGCAGCTTCTGTGTGTCGTCTTCCAGGCTAATTTATGCTCCATTTCCGAACACCTCCCTTTGCTAGCCACTCGGTGGCACCATATCCCGGCAGTGGCTCACTGTGGGGGGATGTGGGCGGTTCCTTCTGCCTCCATTTAATACCATCCTTACATATTATGGGGACAAAATGATCTACTTTGGTAGGCTTAGATTCAGCCAGTGCCAGTTTTATTTTGGGCCACTTATATCAAGGAAATACGGTCTCGGTCCAAAATTTTATAGGTGTCTTGGCATTTTAAATTTCTCTTCGCTTTTGCGAGAACACCACGGATGCACGGTTTGGGTGCAGGCCCTGCCCCCTGCAAGCTCAGGGGGTTTTTAGATGAAGAAATGCCTGTTTGGCCAAATATCTATTGGATGGCAGTAGGTGCCAGATGCGAAATGGCTGGTCATGGGTAGATATTTTATTGGTCTCTGCAGCTTTTCAAACTCTTCACGTAAAAGCTTAGCAGTTCGTGACTGTGACTGTGGAAAATAAAATGTGCCCTACCTTGGCGAGGCACATCCACATATGACTTGAATGGGTGACATTTCATAGTCTGAGAAAGAGCCTTTCCCAAGTTCACCGTTGCACGGTCCAGAGCTCCGCGCTGGCCGGCGCCTGGCGCCCTCGGCCTAGATGGTGAGACTTGTGCGCCCACATCCCGTGTACCTTCTTTGCGCGGGTGCTTTCCATGCCTTGTGCGTTCCTCCTCTCTGTGTGTGTCCTTTCGTGTCACTGCCCATGACTGAGTGGACTCTCTTTGTTTTGTAGCTCTTTTCTGTGAGCCAGGCCGTGGCCAGCAGTGCACATTCCTCCAAGTCTGCGGTAAACCACGCACCCCGCCTGTTGTCCTCACCGCCTCCTCGTGTTGTGGTGTCTGAATGCTGTTGTTGCCCTTCTCGTGCACCTACCTCGTTCCTAACTCCCAAAGATTTGAACAGGTTTAAGTGTTTTCATTTGACTGTCGTTCTGAAGAGAGTCTAGAAAGAAAGCCACGAAGTTCTCGAATTGAGCTTTGTTGGCCCAGGAGCTTCTGGGACCTTTGAGGCATTGGTTCTGTGCCTTTCTTTGGAGCTCTGACGGTGAGCCACCGCCTGCACCTGCTGAGTGATTAGCACCTTGTACTCCTAATGCCCCGGCTTGGCTTGAGGCCCCAGATCAAGTGGAGGACTAGGAAATATTCTAATTGCAGAAGTGAGTCTTAATCTTCCTCTTGAAACTAGGAGAAAACCAGCTGAGTCATTGATGAGTGCGGCTGTAATTACTTTTATTTGTATCTAATTGTTGCCGTATTTAAGTGGCAGTAATGAGCCCAATGGAATAACCCAGCCTAACAGCCTCTTCAAAATAAGATCCGATGAAGTCCAAATGAGTACATAGGGAAAACTCCTGCCTCCTGCCCTGCTGGCACGCTTAGCATTTGGATTTCATTTTTAAACCTTGAAGTTTGATATGCTTTGAGCAATAAAAGTGCCAGGTAGTCCGGAACACGATGTGTAAGGACGAGGGTTATCCCTTTCCCGCCCTGTAGATGGACGGGTTAGAAGCCGTCCTCCGGCGGAAAGCAGGCCGCGGGCGCTGCCACAGGGAGGCTTGCGGCACGGCCTCGCCCCCACGCTGAGCCAGCTCTGCTTCCAGGCCCCAGTCCAGGCCCCCACGGGGAGCCTCTCTGAGCTGCATCTGCATCGTGGGCGGGCCTGCTGGCCCTGCCCCAGCTCTTCCCTCCCGGAGGCCAGAGTGAGTCCGGCCTTGGGCTTGGGGGCTGGGAACAGGAGGACGCCCTCTCCCTCTGCTTCAGTAAAGCATGTGTTCTGACTTGGAGGCCACCACCGGCCCCAGGGAGCAGCCGGCCCCGAGCAGAGAACAGGCAGAATAGAAAGCGAGCCAAAGGGCCAGATTCCCTGCCTTTACTTTTCGTCTTTCGTTCCAGAACATTCCCTCTCGCCTGCCCCCATATTATGTTACCTTCTCTGTGGCACCTAGAGTACAGGGAGGTGACCACCGCTTCCCTGTGGCACTGCAGAAGTGGGCATTAGGGCATTTATGTCCCTGGGCTATGGCACCTATAAGAGGTTCACCTACTCTGAGAGGGCCCCGGCCCCCCCCCCCCACCCCCAGCCCTCCTGCAGCAGTGCCAGAGGGCCTCGGTGGTAACAGCTGACTCCTGTGAGCACTTACCACAAGCCAGGTGTGCTCTCGGGGTTTTCTGCGTCTGTATTCAGTGAGTGCTCACAGCTCCCTGAAGCAGGTCCGACCGTGACCCATTGTGCAGATGAAGCCGAGGCCCGGAGCTAGTGTTCAGGATTGATGTAGGTATGGCAAGTTGGGATTCACAGACTGACCCCAGAGCCCTCACTCTTACCTGCCCAGCCTCCCTGTCAGGTCAAGGTCCTTTGCTGCCGTGCCACCTCTTGAGGGCTAGAAAGAATACACAGGAGACCCATAACCAAACCGGTACAGGAAAGAATCGATCCAGCTTCAAGAAACGCACAAGTCAAATTAAGGAACTTTGTTCCTTTCTGGACACGTGGTCTGGTAGTTTGACTAGGTCACAGAGTCATCCCTCTTGATGGCCAGCGGTCCCTGCGGCTGCCGGCTCCGAGGTTTCTGAAGGCCGTGTGTTGTCTGTCTTGCAGAGATCCAGCACCCCATCCTCGCCCACTGGCACATCATCGTCAGACTCTGGCGGGCATCACATTGGCTGGGGGGAGCGGCAGGGCCAGTGGCTACGCAGGAGGAGGCTGGACGGAGCCATCAACAGGGTCCCCGTGGGATTCTACCAGAAGGTGTGGAAGATCCTTCAGAAGGTAAGCTTGGCCGCTGTGCTGCGGTCCACTGGCCTTGTTGCTGGGGGACGGACACTCCCAGGGGAATGAACCATCGCCGTTAATTGCATCGCAAGGCATGGCAGCACCTACAGGGATCAGGTAGCCAGTCCCCGAGCTTGGGGAGTCCCAGCCTAGAGCAGGGTCTCTCCACCTCTGACATTTGGGGCGGAGCAATTCTTTTTTTGTGGGGGGGGGGGTCCCGTGTATGCAGGATGCTCGGTGACATCCCCAGCCTCTACCCGCTAGATGTCAGTGGCACCCCCAGCTGTGACAAGCGCAGATATCCCTGGACATTGCCAGGTGTCCCTGGGACGCGCAGCAAATCATCCCGGTTCAGAACCGCCGGCTGGAACTGCAGCAAGTTAGATAAGGTGGCAGCCCGAGTGTTAGGGGGACCACCTTTGACATATTTTAGGAACACAGAAATGTCAGAAGATAGACAAAAACCAGGGAAGGCTTTGGCTGAAAACACTGTGACGTAGAGGGCCTGGAATGCCCGCCCCCCAGCCCCCGCAGGCTCTAGCCTCCTGCGTGTTCCAGTGGGTGTGGTGTCCCCACCATTCAGCGACACGATCGAGCACCCCCTGTCTGCGGGGCACCGTGTCCGCTCCTGGGTGCCTTGAGTCAAAGGTACCTGGGGCCACCTTTGCCTCTCCACCTAGAGGATGGGGGGACCCCAGACCCACTCCCCTTAGCTGGCTGCCCACTCTGTCTGTGGCCATCAGGGCTGCATTTCCCTGCTGTCTGGGGACGTGGAAATGTCTGCAGAGGCCGTCAGAGACGGCCGTACGGTGGAGACCCAGACTGCACCACACCCACCCGAATGCAGGAGGGCCTGAGTGCGGGGGGTCAGCGGGGAAGCGGGGAAGCCGTGCCCCTCTGCTGTCCGCACCCATGTTCCGTCTCCCTGCCGCACCAGCCCCAACGCACATCCTTCCTTGCACACAGTCTGCCTCAGTTTAAGGCTTCCGTGCAAATTAAGAACCATGGGCAGGACCAGTTTTTTCTTAAAACTATTTTTGTTAGCTCATTCATTTCACAGTAGGAGAGGAAAGTAATCCCAACTGAGCACACGCTACAACCCCCTTCCCAAAGGCATAGCACCTCGCAGCGGTTGTACTCCGGTGGCAGGGGCCAGTGGTCCGTTAAGGAGCCTTAGCCTCTCTGCTGTGTGGAGAGCGAGGTCTTCATGCAACTGGGCATGGGGAGGTCAGAATGGTCCCTGTCCTTGTGCAGCTGGTCCTCACATGGGAGCAGAGCCCTCAGATCCCGCAGAAGCCTCTGCTTCTCCTTTTTCTGCCTGCGGTCAGAAGGTATGGCCACTGCTGCCTCTCTGTCCTCGGCCCACCAGCGCCCCGGGACTGAGAAGGTAGCCAGTGAGATGAGAACAGACTTCCCGGAAAATCTCCCCACTCTTCCTGGGGCATCAGACGCTTCCATCCAGACTTCCACTAGTTCAATACCAAGACACTCTTATTATGAAAAAGCCGCATTTTGCGTGGAGCCGGCGCTCGATATTTATATACATGGGTGTGCGTGTGCATGTCTGTGCATGTGCTCAAGTCTTTTGTGATTGGTGCTTATTATAGAAATCTCAAAAATAGATGCCTGCAAAGGCACAGAAGTATCACTTCACCAGCAGGAGCCGTGAAAATATCCCTTTCTATGGCCCCAAAGGGTGCCTCGCAGCCGCCAGGGCCTGGTTGCCAAGTGAAAGGCGGAGCTGCCACAGAGGAGGACCCCGCGGCTCCCTGGGGCATCGTTCACACAGGATCTGAAAGATGCCTGCTGGTTCCCTAGAACCGCTCCATCGAAAACAGCCTGTGGGCAGTGAGAACAAGCTCTCTAAAAATAACTGACAGTCTGGCGTGTTCAGCCCCCATGTAGGTTTCCAGGGCAGAGTGACTTGGGTGTGTGCGAATGTGTGCGCACACTTACTAATCGGCTCCTGGAATCTGAACTGTGCGGTGTGTGTTCTGTCTCCAGTGCCATGGTCTGTCCATCGACGGTTATGTGCTCCCGTCCTCGACGACAAGAGAGGTATGATGAGAAACCCCGTCCCCCACCCCCCACGGTTCCCCCCTCCCCACCCAGGGCTTTCTTTCACCGTCTCCTAACACTCCCGCTTCTTTCAAGTGTGCTACGTCCACACAGGCCTTTTGTAAGTCCATCTCTTGAGCCACTTCACCTTCCAGTTTTGCTCTTTCCCGCATTTATCGGCATCACCTTTTCTTTGTCCTCGCAGAAATAGCATTTCTGACCGCCAAGATCTATACATTTGCTGTTTAAAGTGCTATTAAGAGAAAAGAGCAAAGCTGCCCGCCACCCTCGTTGGGCACTCACGCAGTCTCCTCTGGCCCCCTCCACCGAGAACGCTTTCCAGGTTTCCTTCTTCCGATTCATTCTTTAACAAATTGAGTTTTTACTTCCTGTCCCACCCGAGACACCATGCTTTATGGCACAAGGAGTGACCAAGAAGAAAGAGGAATAAGAAAAGGGCCCTGCCCCCTGGACGGCCCGGTCCAGTGGGGGTAGGTTCATCAAGCTAGGACAAGGCCAACTCACCCGCACAGCAGGGTTCCCGGCCTCCTGCTCCAGAGGGTTCCAGCTGGTGGAATCAATGTGGCCAGAAAGGAGGCAGCATTCTGGAGCTGAGCCCTGGGCCCAGGGGGTGCTACGGTCAACGTTGGTCACAGGGCTGTCTGGCCTCAGCTCACTCCTGCCCCCCTGCCGGTCCCTTTGACAGATGACCCCACAGGAGATCAAGTTCGCCGTGCACGTTGAGTCGGTGCTGAACCGCGTGCCGCAGCCCGAGTACCGGCAGCTGCTGGTGGAGGCCATCATGGTGCTGACGCTGCTCTCAGACACGGAGATGAACAGCATCGGGGGCATCATCCACGTGGACCAGATCGTGCAGATGGCCAACCAGCTGTTCCTACAGGACCAGGTGAGTGTGTCCAGGCCCACCTAGTCACCCCCACAGCCGAGACGGAGAGAGGGGCAAGGTGACGGGTTGGCTGGCCTGTGTCTCTGTCAAGGCTGAGGATTTTGTGTCCAGTAGGAAAGAATATTCTCAAAGAAAATGTCACCACAGATGGTGGTAAAAAAAAAAAGTCAACCATTTGGTTAGAAAATGGCACAACGGCCGCTTGGGAAACCTAAAGATCTTTGCAAATGGATAGACTCGTTGTGGCTTAGGTTTTAGTGCGAGCACCACTCTTGCTGTGGATACGGCCTTGGATAAGCAGACCACTTACCCTGCGGCCAGAATCGAGGTAGGAGAAGCCGTGCTCTCGTTACAGAGACATCGCGCACTGCAAACTAGGCTGTGCGGCAGCACAGTGTGGCCCCCAGAGGAGAGGCTGGATGTTGGCCCTGGGCACCCTTGACTCCTGCCCTTGGGCTTGGAGCCCCTCTCTGGGGGCCGCTGGTCTCTAGCAACCTGATCGCCAGCGCACACAGCCATCACAGCACCGGGGGGCTGAATGCTGCTCATTCTTCGTGTTTTTTCCCGTTGCAGATGTCAATTGGAGCCACGGATACCCTGGAGAAAGACCAAGTCACAGGCATTTGCCACTTCTTTTACGACAGCGCTCCGAGTGGGGCTTATGGGACAATGACCTACCTGACAAAGGCAGTGGCTTCCCATTTGCAGGAACTGCTGCCCAATTCAGGCTGCCAGATGCAGTAGGGCCTCAGTGCTCTGAGTCTGTCCCTCGCTCCCTAGCCTCGTCGGGAACATCCTGTTCTCCAAGATTCCCGGTGTGGTCACAAAAGCACGTCCCGTGAGAAACCCTGGAAGCCACCGACCTAAAACCAGTGTGTGTCTAAGCCACAGAGCCGACGGATCGTGTGTCCCCACAGGGAGCACCATGGGGTCGCTGTCTAGGTTTGCTTCCCTGTGACGTTTGCCAGAACAGACTCCAAGAGACCAGATGAGGAGGAATTAGAAACTGGTCTCTTTTGAGTGCAGTGTGAATGGAGAGGCCAGCTTAAATTGGCTTTCACCGAGAGTTCCCGAAAGCAGTCAGGTGGTCAGATATGCTAGTGACACCTCCAAGGATGGGAAGATCTTTGAGCAGCGGGCGTCTGACGAGCGGACCTTGACAGGGGGGACATCTTAACAGGATGTGGCCTGTGGACCAAACTGTTTACCAAATACAACAACTCTTTCTGTGCAGCTTTGGTTTTCTTATGCCTTGCTTTCTTTCTAGGCCTCTCGTTTTACTGGCACGGCTACCTTTGCGTGACAGTCCTCTCTTGCCGAGATTTAGAAGAGTGTTCACAGTTAACTTTGGCTTGTGGTCTTCAAGGATTTTATCCTGGCTGCTTATGAATTAGAGATTTCTTCTGCCTTATTTAAAAAAAAAAAAATCTGGAATATAGCAAAAAAAAAAAGGGGGGGGGCAGGAGAGGTGCCAGCACTTCTAGCTGGGCCAACTGTTGTTTGGGGGCCGGAGCAGCAGGGAGTCCCTCTGGAAGGCCTGTGCCCCCCCCACCTCCACATAGGGCGACAGCCCTGGCAGGCAAGTGGGGAGCCACACGAGGAGTACACGGTGCCCGATGCCATTTGTGCTGCCGCACAGGCAGTGCTTCTGTCTTAGCGGAGAGCCAGGCTGGCGACTCGAGCCCTTCTCGTGGGAGTGTTTTCCTCTCAGCTCCCAGGTAGGTGTGCTTGGGGAGCCAAGAACACATCCTCACAGGACAGGGCCGTGTAGTCTTGGGCCGATGTTCTGGTGAATGGGGTTTTCTCTAGGCCTGGTCTTACCTGGTGGGGGATGGGGCAACACCAGGGGAACACTTCCCGTGAAGAATAAACTTCGGAGGACAGGCAGATGCATGGTGGTCCTCTGGTGCGCCCCGGAGGCTCGACCGTGACGGGTTACATTAGTGGTGGCTCCGCCTCTGAAGGGGGGCGTGGCCACGGGCCTGTGGCTCGGGGTTTGTGTGACGGTGGAGAACGTGGATGCTCTGGCTGCTTTGAGGGGACCCGGGGGTGCCCGGCCCCACCCAGAGTCCAGACGCAGTGCTGATGGTCATTCCTGAAGCAGGAGAGGCGGGGTGGCCTCGCGTTCCTGCCGCTTCCTGCTGAAGAGCCTCTCTCCGGTCCAGACCCAGGGGAGAGATGGTCTAGAAGTCCACGTCTCAGTGCTCCCAACCTGGGCTCGCCTTGCACGGGTGACTTCGTGACTTTTGTCTCCTGTTCTTGAAACCACAGTACTTTCTTCGCTCGGGCACAGGGTAGTTACATAAAGGAAAGCCCCCGGCATCTCGCACTTTCTGCTCCACTGGACTTCTCCCCTTCTCTTCTTTCCCTTCCCTATTAATGTCAGCACATGTTGAACACTTTCTCTGTGCCAGGTGTGGGAACACAAAGATACAGGAGGCGTGACTCGGCACTCAAGGACCTCACCCCGGCAAGGCAGGCTGGTGTGAAAAGATGAGCACGCTTTAGGGTGGCGGGGGCGGTGTTAGAGAGACAACACGGTGTGGGACCGGAAGGTGGGGCCTGCCCAGAGCACCGGCATCGGCACAGATCTGAGCCCGTGCCGGCAGCCTGGCCTACCGCTCCTGCCCACGCGGCACCTGGCCTCGCGCCACGCTTCCCCCGAGCTCCTGCAGCGCTTCCTGTTCGTGCCCTGCCTTTCCTGGGAATCCTGTTTGGTCTCATTTGCCTTTGAGGGTCTGGGATTCCGAGGTGGTCACAGCCACCCTGGTTTCAGACTAACGTTTTCAAAGCCTCGCTCGTCAGCGTCTTTAAGACACGCTTGACATAAACAAGGATCGTGTAATTCACCTGATAGACTTCCTAGAGGATCATTTGAAACACAGACGATGTAAGAAAGGCACCAGCTGTGAAAGTCCTGGTTGCTTCTTGGAAGAAAGCTCAAGAAGAGTTACAGCACTCCAGAATGAGCCAGATGCTAATTTAGAACATCACCTGCCTGTGGATGACGTACAAAACCACAGATGCCGTGTTCGGGCTCACCAACCGCGATGCGGGCCGGGAGAAGAGCCACAATAAGCAGTTCAACGGAGCCTTCGATTCACTCTTTTGAAGCCTCTTTCAAATAAAATCCTGAAATAGTATCACATTTCCACAGGCATCAAGCTGTCAGCTTCAAAGAAGGAGAACAGGCTTCTGACGCTCGATGCAGCGGAGGCCCACGCCGCCGCGGGGAACAGATGCTCCAGGGGGACAGTAGAGACCCCGAGCCGCCTCTGTCCTGGCCTCGGCACACAGGGTTTCCATGCCGGGAGAGAGCGGCCGGCAGCCCCTGCTGCTCTTTTCCTCTCTCCGTCCTCAGAGCAGAAAGGCCAGTTTTGACCTGTGCTGGGCGTGGGGCGGGGGTAGCATGTCCTCTCGCAGAGCCGGGAACAAACATTTCTTTTAACATCCGTTGAAAATCCGTCAGCCGCCCCACCTGCTGCTCGCCCTGCTTTGACCCAGGTGAAGCCAGCAGCAAGGAGGAAAGTTCTGTCTCCGGGTCAGGCTAGCCTTCCATCCCACCTCTGTGACCTGGGGGTGAGTTACGTAGCCTCTGTGCACCCCCGTTTGCCCACCCGTCAAATGCACACGAGGCCCGCACACTGGCACGGGGCTGAGTGTGAGGGGATCACAGGGATCACGCCTTCCGCTCCCCGCCTCTGGCGGTCAGAACCCGGAGCTCCCCGTTCACGAGAATCCAGATTTTCCCAATGGCAGCTCCTAGCCGGGCCAAGGGCCAGGGGCAGGAGGGTCTCTGGGTCGTGCCAGTGTCTGACGGGGTCGGGGGGGGGGCATCTGTCAGGAAGTCAGGGCTTCTGCCACTTTTCTGAGGCCTAGTCAATGGCAGGAGATTGTTACACATTAGCTGCCTGGCTAGAGAGAAGTTAGATGCTCCCTGTGTTAAAAAAAAAAAAAAAAAAAAAACCCACAAAAACACACACACAAAAAAAGGAAAAGAAAAAAGCCCAGAAGATCAGGAGGCAAGAGAAACAGTTTGTCAGCTGATTGATACCATTTATTTCTGGACAAGACGACAGGAGGCTCAGCCTCCCTTGATGTAAATTACAGCAGAACCGTCACTCAGTTCTACAGACACGCACGCAAGTCTGGCAAATGGCTTTTGTCTTCCCTGCTTCCTTGTTGTCAGAGGGTACAAAAGCCTCCCTCCCCCTCCCTTGGCGCCATTATCTTTCAAGGTGACTCTTATGCTTTTGAAATCCCTGCCATCTGTTCTGTGTCTTTGCACTTTGCATGGTCCCAGAATGCCTTCTGTTCTCCCAGACTTGGCCACCGATTCGATTCCTCTGCTTGCGAGGAGAAAGCAAAGCCTCGCCATCGCCCTCTTAGAGCCCGGTGTCCCTTTAGCCCTCCTCAGAAAGCCGTTTAGGAAAAGCCATGTCCTTTGAGTTACCAAGAGAGTTCTCTGAGGCATGAGAGGAACTGAAACCACGAGAGACTATTCTGGAGTCTAACACATGGAGTGTTGGATGGTTGGGGAGAGGGAACGATTCCACCAGAAAACCACTATGTGTGTTTTTAAGGAACATATGTGCACTTTTGGCAAAAACGCCTTCTTAGAAGGAGTGGGATAATCGGAACCGATGAACTCTGCAGTCATGTGATGCGTCCCTCTGCCTCATTGCAATATGTCAACCCTTGTGAAAAATGAACCGCTCAGAAAGCATCTATTAGGGCCTACTTCAGGCTAGGCGTTGCTCGGCTCGCGGGAATACGGACGAGCGTGGCGGGATGAAAAAATGCCTCTCGTTGCTGAAGACCTCTGAGGAAGGACACTGCCCAACCTGCTGGGATGCATTCCCAGCATAGGCCTCCCAGGACATCTGCTAGCTGTCATTTCTGTCACTGGCACGTGAGTTCCAGAGAGGTTTGCTGCAGAGGGAAGCAGGGCCGCGGGCAGTAGCTCAAGGCGGAGGGGAGGGGGGTTTCATGGCACAGCAGGTCTAGGGGGACTGCGTCTGGGAGGCAGAGGGAAGGAAACGAGCGCCCGAGGGAACTGAACTTCCTCCGCTCCTCCTGAGATGCCAACAAGCTCCCGGAGCGGCCCCCGCCCTGCTGCCGTTCGGGGCGCGAAGCGGGGAAGTAGAGGCGGGCAGAGGACTGCAAGGAGCTATTCCTGTTCCCTTCCTCAAACCTCCACCCCCGTCTCTGGCCTCAAACCCCTGCAGTCCCCACACCATCTTCAAGCAAACGTGCACAAGTGCGCACACGGCTGTCGGCCTGCCTCTGCCTGCGACAGTTCCGGAGATGGGGCTGTGACTCCTGTGTCTCGTGGGCCGCCAAGGTGCACTGGCTGGGAACCGTCCCCGAGGCTCACCTTCAGGCAAGCCTCTGCCTGCTGTCGCCTGCCCCTGAGCCCTACACGGAGGTTTCTCCCTGCCCCCAGCCCAGAGGGCTCAGACCACGGGCATTCCCCTGCCTTTCAAGTCGGGGCCTTAGAAAGCACAGGAAAGACGGAGGCCAAGGCCTTCTAGGCTCTAAAGGCTTCACGTTCTGCAGGTCGCTCCAAGGCTGCTTCCTCTGCGCTTTAAATAGATGTGCTGTGCTGAGTTTTAAATTTGACACATTTCTTTTTTTGAACTTAAAAAAAGCACAGTGGAAAGCAAGCAAGCAAGACACTTAATGACTCATCTTCGGGAGGAAGGGAGCAGCTCCCTCCCTGATCAGAGGCGGTGGTCAGGAGA